TATTCGCTCTTTAATTGTAAAAAGACTTGAGGTGAGTAAAAACAATAAAATAAGTAAATATTTTATTTTTGTAGATGTCTAATAACAGCTTTGTAATCCTCAATTGTTATTAAATATTTATTTTATCTCTGATAAATAAATAACTGCTGACAGATGTTAATTCATTGCAATAATGAGAAAAACTCTGGATTTTACTACTTTTACTCTAAAAATGATTTAAAAAAAACAAGGAGTAAAATAAACAGATTAACATAAAAAGTCTGAATTACATAAAAACGTATTTTTGCACAAATTCTCAGCTTCTGTGATTCAAAGTGGAGGTTTGCTGCCCTCCTGCGACTGAAGGAGCTCACACACCCACGCTGCCTTCACGACACGTAGAAACTCGGACATCTCAGCTTCGTTTTGCTACAAATTCGGATGACAAACCCCCCTCCGATTATAGTGACGTTTAGTAAAATCACTGTTTAGATTTATCCTTCGACCTGTTGACCTCATCGTTGTTCGTTTAACGGTAACACGTGAAATACACACAGCGTGTCCTCCGGTCGCTCCAAGTCTCCGATCTCCTATTTAACCCCAGCCCGTGAACGCAGCACCAGGACCAGCCTGCCTCACATTGTTAACGTTGATTTCTCCCGTTCAAAGCAGCATTTTGTCTTCCGTGAGCCGAACCTGGATCACAGCCTCCCACTAACCGCATGAAATCTCGGCTTCGTCAGGCAGCGGGACCCCCACCGGCACACGGTAAGACCTCCACGGAGTAATCTGGAAACCCCCCGTTTCCCGGTGAGAAATCTTTCCAGCTAAGGTTCATGTCTCAGACTCCGGAGGAATAAAACGTTACCGGGGCGAGCCGTGCTGTTACTGCGGGGGGAGCTGAGGGGTCTGGTGGTTAAAGTAGTTGTTTTTTAGGGGGGCACTTTGGCACGCACGGTTAAACCGGGTCAGACACCTGTGCGGCTCGTTATTCTGACTTTGCTCAGCAGTCTATTTCCTCCCCGGGCTGAAAGCAGGAGGTTAGCGTGTTTCCCATGGCTACACCAAGCGTCCACACGGGGGTTATTTGCATTCCTCTCCGGCCTGTGGCGACACACACACGCACGCGTTATTATTATTATCTTAAAACTGGCAGCCAGATAACTGCGCCGGGAGTCCGGGGGCAGAGCGGCCAGGTCAGCTCCGGGGGTCGTGACGTCGCCGGGGCTGCAGGTTCACCGCTCCGTCTCTTGGGGCTCCTTTTGTTGACCGCACGCCCACCTTCCCCCGCAGCTGCACGGTTTCATAATCTAATGCTCTCGTTTCTTCTGCCCTCCTGTTGATCTCCGTGTGGAAGCCCGAGCATGAGGAGGATCGGTGGCCGTTACCCTGCCCAGACCGGAGGCTGCTGGTAGGGATGGTGTGGCTGTGAAGAGCCGGTGTGACGCGCCTGTGGTCGGGGGAAGAAGTGCCTGGACAACATGACTGTTTTCAACCCGGAAAATGTGGAGGAATTTTATGACATCGGGGACGAGCTGGGGAGGTGAGTCCACACCGAGCTTATTTCTAATGCGCACCAACTTCCCCTTTCTGTGCCCGGGGCGGGGATGCTGGGAAAAGACCTGTTTCTCATTAAGATAATAAATGTTTCAAAGTTTATTTAGCCCACATGTGCAGAGCTGTGGTCCACGCGTGTCTGAACCCCCCACTGTGAGTGAGTGAGTGTGATAAGCTGTGATTAATACAGTGTCGTCAGTGATGAAGAGTTGCTGTGTCTTCCTGGGCTTTATTGCAGGAGGCTGATGTAGATCTTTACAGGGAGCAGGTGTCCATCCTGGCTGTCACTCCGTGTGTGATTGGTCAGAGGTGGATGCTGATGATCAGGGTGAAGAAGCCGACTGTGTATGAAGCACTGTGGCAGAGCTGGACCTGAGTTTGGTTTGCAGGGCGGCTCGAATGTGGCAGATGATTCCAAACATAACGTGTTTGTTGACTGGAGCAAACTGCCGACCTGGCTTTACCTTCCTCATCGAAAATCTCTCGTGCCGTCATCTTTGCTCGAGCTGAGCTGACAAAACCAGTCAGGGAGTGAGTTTGTTTGGGCTGCTGGAGAAGAGCGAGGACGTGCAGCAGCACAGAGTTGATCTGGATGATGTTCTTAAGCCTTCATTGTAACCAAATCCAGGATTTGGTTAATCGAACAGCTTCACAAATGTTGTTTTTTAATCATAAGTTAGTTTAAGTGAAAGCAGATTTTCCTGTTTTCACTGTGACTTTATTGCTGATTCGGTAAAAAAATGTCATTACGTAATAATAAAGGCAGAAATGATGCGTTCCAGCTCCCAGATGTGAGAGTCACAGCTGTGGAAGTGGGTCTCTGAGTTTGTGGTTATGAAACGTTGGTAATAATCGGCCTTTGTGGCGTTGCTGATTGTGTGTCGTGTTCACCTTCCTCTCTGAGGAAAGCCTGCGCGGCTGCAGCTGCTGTAGCAACAGAGACGATCGGGGAGCTGTGTGTGATGGGATTGAGTTTCTGGCTGAGGTAAAGTAGACGGCTACGCCAGCGTGATCGTCTCGATTGGCTGTTGCTCCAACGCTGGGATCCGCTCTCTGTTGAGGAAGGATGGGGACAACAGGGAGCTGATATCACGTCATCTGCCATCATTATTAAATCATCCTAAATATTCCAACATCTGCAGTGTTGGGATAGAAAATATTTGCTCCTGTCATCAGTCCTGTCATTTATGCATGCTGTTTGTTGGAGAGCGCTCCAGCAGCAAGGACTCTGAAATGAACATGTCTGTGGGAAACTTATTTTGCATGGGCACAAAGAGGCAAGCGCCATGTGTGCAGCTGGAACTTGTTCTTGTTTCTGCTGCGTTTCTGCTGCGTCTCTTATGGGTGAGGCTTGTGTTACTTCTCTCATCAGTCACTCAGAATCTGATGTATCTGAGTCCGGCGACGTCCTGCAGTGTCCTCGGGCGTCTGCTTGCTGCCGCGTTAATGAGCAGATCTTTCCCATAGATGCTGCACACAGGTGGTCTTATGTAAGACGGGCGCACTGATCACTCCCAAACTGGGCCTGACACCTCTGCATTAGCAGCCCACGTGCGTTGAAACGAGGCAAACGGAGACATTTCTGTGCAGCTAAGCTCGCTGTGTCTGAATTGGAGCACTTGTACTGTACAAACAGACGAGCTGCACAGGAAGAAGAAATCAGAGGTTCTGGATGAAAATGCAGAAACTCCAGTGACTGTGCAGTCGTTATATATTTGTGTTGGTACTGGATGAACTTTAGCATAAACCAGAGTCTGTTAATGATGAAAGCTGCTGAGTCTTTCACTGTAAAGCCCAACATGCCTGCAGACTGAGGGCTTTTGATCCGACTGTACTCCAGGCCTGCCGCTGGCTGCACTTGGATTAAGGCCCATTTGGTTTGGCAAAATGGGAAAATGGGAATTCACCCAAGCAGTGAGTCTATCCTGTCACTGACACCGACACTGCCTGCTTATGCATGGAGGACCTGATGCCCGGTGAAGCCGAGCATCATGCATGAGCATCTATGTGCAGCGAGCACGCAGGAACAAAGCCAAAGCATACATGTTAGCAGCGCGATCTTATATAATGCTGTCTGTAAATGTTGCATTATTGCTGAAGCTCTGCTCAGAATCACTGCCTCCTCTTGATTTTTCTCACCTCTGTGATCGGGGTGCCATTGCTCGCCCAGTTTTCCGAGCCTTCCAGAACAAAACCTGGAAAACTGGAAATATTAGACGCGCCTAATAAAGTGTCAGTCAGAGAAACGATTGTGAAACTGCAGGTCAGCCGTTGAAGATCCGGGCAAAGCATCAAGTTGTTGCTTGCGGAGCTGCGCTTTAAAAAGGGTGATGTGTTTGCACAATGTGCATCAAACTCATCCCTGCAGCGTGGAGCCCGGCTGGGTTTAGTTTAAAGGCCTCCTGACAGACGTTGACCACATCTGTGCTCAGCTGGTCTCTGTAACTGCTTCACAGAAAAGTCTCACGTCACGCCTCAGATTGTTGAAGACGTCGTAGTTTGCCAGCATCTCAAAGGGTCTGTTGTTTGACGCCTCCTCAGAGTGATGCTCAGGTGTCGGGTGAAGCACCGCTGCAGTGTGTGTGTGTGTGTGTGTGTGTGTGTGTGTGTGTGTGTGTGTGTGTGTGTGTGTGTGTGTGTGTGTGTGTGTTTTAGACTGCAGAGACACAAGCATTCAGGCTCAGAGCTTCTGTCGCTGCAGGGCTTTTTTTACCCCATCAAACCTTTTAGTTCCTCCAGTTAGATCAGCAGAAATAGAAAAAGCTGTAATTGCCTCCATTATCAGTGCCTCTGCAGTGCATTATGGGTCGTGCGTGACAGCCGGCGCGTGTGTTTTCTTAATTAAATGATTAAGCAACGGTGTTTGTGTGGCGCTCTTCTGCAGAGGCCTCAGTTAGCAGGTGCTTTATGACACATAATACAATCAGCTGTCCATGCAGGGAGTTCCTCGCCTCGTCGATGGACTTCAGCTGCACCTCCTTGGACTGGTCCTCAGTCAGCCCAGTGCAGCAGGACCTTAACCAGTTATCCACCTGCTGCAGGTGCTTGTTAGAAATCTCCAAACTAGAAGGCTCCGACTGCAGGGTGAGACCCACTGGAGAGGCAGCTGAATGAAATGCAGCTCTGACCTACGCAGGGAGAAAGCTGGAGATGATGCACGACTCCAGAGACAGATGGGAAATCGCCGTCAGTGCTGGCCGGCTGATATCTGATCTCTGAGTGGATGCCAGTACTGCTCTAGAATAACAGTAAACCTCTGTAGGTCTGAGCAGAGCATGCGGTCATGCTGCATGCAGCAGGCCTGCGTGAAGAAACGGGCGCAGCTTGCACTCCGGTCATGTGAGTCCAGTTCTGCTTTCCTTATTTTTTGGATTCATTTATTTCTTTTGCTGT